TGCGAGCTCCGCCGGACACCGAGCTTCGTTTTGTACGGCCACGACGACGGCGTCACGAGTGTTGCGGTCTCGAGCGACATGGACCTCGTCTTGAGCGCCAGTCGTGACGGCACCATCATTGTGCACACGCTGAGCAACGGCCGGTACATTCGCACGCTGCGCCCGGATGCCTCGCGGCACGCGCGCTTGACGTATGTCGGACTCAGCACTTATGGGTCGATCCTGACGTACTGTGATTCGAGCTCGACGCTGTATCGGTACTCGATCAACGGCGATTGCCTTGCGTCGCGATTCGTGGATCAGAAAGCCCAGGCGTTTGCGCTGACGCAGGTAAATCCCGTTCTTTGTATCAAGTTGATACTACTACAAGCGTAGGACGGCGACGCGATTCTACTGGGCGGGCGCGGCCAAACGATCACTGTCTACCGCGTGCACGACCTCTCGATCCAACGCGAATTCGATGGCAGCGACGAGACACGCGGGCTCAAAGCGTTCCAGAGCCCGATCCACGCGCTCTGCTTCTCGAGCAACGACATGCATTTGCTCGTCGGCCTTGGCAACGGCGATGTGTGCGTTTACACGCCAGATGCTCAGTACCTCCGCGACCGGCTTCAGACCAAACTCACAGACCTTGGCTTCTAGTTCCTTGATAGACTGTATCGTTCGTGTGCACTTTGCAGGCTTGTGGTCGTGTGGCAGTAGACGCCTCACACAGTGGTTGAGCACTGGATAGTTGTATCTACACAGCTCTACAACCACTGGGTCGATGTGTTTGTATTAATCTATCAGTACGATAGTCCAACCGAGAAACCGTTAGGATGGGACTGTACAGGTGCCGCCTGTGGCCAGGGCTCCAGCAGTCAGGTAGCCTTAGTTGCCAATTTGTCTCTTAGTACACACGCCGGTGTTCGGGAGTACGGCCTCCCTTTGTCTGGCGTTTGGAGCGAGCCGGATACAAAGTGATCTTAACCGACCAAGTTTCGCTCAAGAAGAAGACATGGCGGCTCCAGGACAAGCGACGAGGGCGATGAGCAGCGTCGTCGTGCTCTCGCAGCTTGTGCACCCGGCGTTCAAGAGTATCGCTCGTCGCGACGTGGTCGTGTGGAAGCGGGCGCGCCTCGAGTACGAGACTTCCATGCGGCGCGAGTGTCAACGAATCAGCCAGAGCTACGCAGCGACGTGTGTTGCGGTCCGCGACTCGTTCGCTCCAGCGGGGTTTCTCGAGTTTCTCATGAAGACCAAGTGGGGCCTTTGGGACGACTTCAACTTGCTGGACGTGCCCGACGACAAGCTTTGGGAAGCGATCAACGGCATCATCGACAAGGGGACGAACAAGGCGGTGCTCACGTACGACAAGGTTTTCATCTCGCTCGCCCTCGACCACAACGAAGAAGATATCGACGAGCGGGTCAGCAGCTTTGTCTTCAAGGCCTCTCAACTGATTGAAGAGCATGGCCTCAGCGAGAAGCTCGAGAACGGCAAGCTCAAGGCCAAGATCTTTAAGGCGCTTGTCGAACGGATCCGTCCCCAAGAACTGCAGACGGACGTGAAGCAGCTGCTCGATGAGAAGATGGCGGTCAAGGCGCATGCTGGCCTCAAGCACCTCGGGAAAATCATCTTGAAGCGAGCGCTTCTCTACAAGTCGTGGAGCCCCAAGACAAAGCGTCTTCGCGACAAGGAGTCGTCCGACGGAGAAGAAGAGCAGCAAGGTGAACGCAAAACGAAGAAGAAGCGCGAGTTCAAGCAGAGATCAAGCAAGCCACCAGTGCAGAAGGACAGCAAGGACGAAGACAAGGAACGTCGGTGCTGGCACTGCGGCAGCAAGAAGCACAAATTGCGAAACTGCCCGAGTGCAAACGCGAAGCAGAAGGAAGTTGCCGTCAAGAAGAACTGGAATGGCGGTCGTCGCGGCGGCGGCAGCGAGCAAGGCGGCAACAGTGACGGCCAAACAAAGAAGACCAAGCTGAGTCGCCTTAAAGCGTTCTCCGGACTCGGCCAGCTCCTCGCGGGCAGTGAAATTCACATGGTTTTGACGCTCAACAGCGTTCTCGACGTGCCTTGTGTGCCGGGCAGTGGATGCGATCTGAACATCATTCCCGCCAAGATGGTTGAGCAGCTCAAGCAGAAGATGCCCGACCTTCAAGTCATCAACTTGGACCAACCTCAGCTTGGCGTGGCTGTGGGCAAGACGACGTTGCAGCTGGACAAGAAGGTTCAGTTGCGTCTGCAGCTCCATACGGCTGCCAGTCCCGTCAATGTGCCTGGTTTGCAAGCGTGTTACGTTGCCGACGAAGGCGACGAGTTTCTGGTGTCGAACGACGTGCTGGTGATGCTCGGCATCGATCTCAAACGCCTCCTCGAGCAAGTGGCCGTTCGGCAGTTTAGAGCCCACGCAAGAGATCCGCGAGCACGTGTCCGAGCAGGGCGTGCTTTTGAAGATCCGTGAGATCAAGGCAGTACGGCTCAACCAGAGTGCCCGGGCGTGGGAAATCCTTTGCTCATGTTAAGGCCTGGAATACATTGAAGCATTGTGGGAGCGGTTCACGTCGATCGCGACGGATGCCCCCGCGGTCGCTCAACGGTTTGCGGAGCAAGCCACGGACGCCCGAGCGCGGGATGGTTTGGCTGATGAGCTCCGGTAACTTGAAGAACGGTCTGCAACGTCGACACGACGACGGTCGTGACGTGCGGAGTACCAAGAAAAGCAACCTACGGGATCCCGGCGATCCTCCGGGCCGTGCGACGGCAACAAGTCTTGAAGATCTTAGACCAGATCAAGAGCAGCAGATACTGACGGCGATCCTCCGAGGTCTGTTTTTGCGGTATTTGATTTCCTTAGGATTTGGACTACCGTGTAAGCTATCCTGTAAATCTTTTGGGAGAGAGGTGTGTGGCAGTAGACGCCTCACACAGTGGTTGAGCACTGGATATGTGTATCTACACAGTTCTACAACCACTAGGTCGAGAGGCTCGACCTAGTGGTCATGTATCGACTCGATACATGGCGATGTGTTTGTATCAATCTATCAGTAAGATAGTCCTACCGAGAAACTGTTAGGATGGGACTGTACATGACCCTGTGGCCAGGGCTCCAGCCGCCAGGTAGCCTTAGTTGCCAATTTGCCTCTTAGTACACACGCCGGTGCTCGGCAATACGGTCTCCCTTTCTCTGGCGTTTGGAGCAAGGCGGATGCGGTCACAGGTCGTCGATTTCTTGATCGATGCCATTAAGATATTGTGACATATTATATCCAAGTTGTCCACAAGGATCGATGGATGACCATGGGAAAATACCACTGTCAGACGCGCACCATTGTCGGACTTTCTCAGCGTTTCACAATCAGTTACGGCCAGTTTCGCGCCAACGTGTTGGAGGTATGACCGGACCCCCGCCCCCCAACAGCGATGACATGACCCGACTCAAGGCAGACGTGCTGCGGGCGTCCGAAATGCCAGGCCCCCGTGCGCTTGGTCGGGCCAAGACGGCCCGTGTCACGTCTGGTGAGATGCCAACGTTGGAGCCCCAACCCCTCAGTCGGGCCAGGACAACTCGCTTCAATAAGACGATCTTTACCAAGCCGACAACAGACGCTGTGCAGTCCCTCGCCAAGCCGCAGGTGACGGACCACGACTTTCAATCGAGCATGGGGGTGATCCTTCCGGCGCGCTTTTGCGGCCTCGAACCGATTCATCCCCACTCGACGTTTATGCGCAACTGGGATGTGCTCTCGATCGTCCTCCTCTTCTACACGGGTGTGTTGAGCGCAAACGGCTTTAAAAACTCATGGCCTTCGTAGCGGTCGTGACGCCCTTCGAGACGGCGTTCTTGACCCCGGGATTCGACACGCTCTTTGCCCTCAATACGTTCGGTAGACGATTCTGAGTGGCACTGTATCCCAACTTGTGTGCCTTGGGTGGTTAGTCGACGTGTGCTTCTTCCTCGACATGATTCTTCGCTTCTTCCTCGTGGTACGAACGTCATCGACGTGCTGTACACATTGATGGATGGACATAATATTCTTCAGTATTTTGACACCAACAACAACATGTGGATCACGGACGCCAAGCTCATTGTCTACCACTACCTCCGTGGCTGGTATGGACGAGACGATACGAACTGGGCGGCGTCTTATCGCCGTCCGTAGGTTTCTGATTGACCTTGTCTCGGTGCTTCCGTTCAACACGATCGGGCTTCTGGTCACCGCGCCGGCGCTGGGTCGGCTCCGATTTATGCGCATCCTTCGGCTCTTTCGCCTCATGAAGGTCGTCCGCGTCGTTAAAGGTACTAGATTGCCGATGTCTCGTCGGTTAAAGTCGTTGAACGCGTTTTAGATGCAAGCGTCTTTCAGTACTGGGAGGTCAAAATGAGTATGAACTACGCGACCCTGAGCTTGGCCAAGTTTTGCTTCTTTGTCTTTATGATCGCACATTGGGTATCTACCGAGGATCGATTCGGATCGTCCGATTGGATAAGCGTTTTGTGTAGATTGCGTGTATGTTTCGCGCGGTCGCCGACTTTGAGACCAACTCGGATGCAAATGGAAACCGGTACAACTGGCTCACGGTCCACTACATGGGCACGGACGCGCTCATCGACTGCGAAGTGCTCGTGCAATATGTCACCGCGCTCTACTGGTCCGTCATGACTCTCACCACGATCGGCTACGGCGATGTGGTTCGTGTGCATCCATCGATGCCACGAGCGTGAGACATCGGTGTAGGGCCCCGCGACGCCCGGCGAGCGCGCGCTCTCGATCGTGTGCATGGTCCTTGGCGGCGGCACGTACGCGTACGTTGTCGGCGGCGTCTGCCGCATTCTAAGTGCGATGGACGCGGCCACGTCCGAGTTTCACCAGACCATCGACACGCTCAACGAGTTTTGTCGCCAGAACCGATTGCCGTCGGACCTCTCGTCGCGGCTACGGGACTTTTTCTTCTCGTCGCGATCGCTCCTGCGGGAAAAGAAGAACCGGGACCTCCTCCTCGCCATGTCGCCGGGGCTCCGCGGCGAAGTCGCCTTGTACAACAACCAGTGGATTAGCAAAATCGACTTTTTTAGCTGCTCGGACGACCGCGAACGCTCGCAGTTTATCACGGCCGTACGTACCCCTTCTGCCAACGTGGGATCGCGACGGTGTGTAGCTGGCGATGGTGTTACGCCCCGAGTGCTTTCCGCCGTCCGAGGCCGTGATTCGCGAAGGCGAGTACAACACGAAAATGTACAAAGTGTCCTTCATGTCCCATGGAACCGAGCGGTTGTCGTACTAGGTATTTGGTCGAACGCGGGTTTGCCACGCGCGGCAAGGTCATGGTGGGCGCCGGGTCGTTTTTTGGCGAGGTAGGCGTTGGCTCCACAAGCGATAATAGTTTCGGCGATGGACGATATATGCGATTCTTCCATTTTTCAATCGTGTGATAGGACATTATCCTCACGTATCGCCAGCGCAAAGTGCCCGTGCGCGCGTTCACATACCTCCACGTTCAAATCCTCACCAAGTTTGACTTGGAGGACATTCTGTCGTCGGGCTTGTACCCCGAAATCCTGCGCAACATTCGCGGCAAAGTGCTCAAAACCGCCTTTAAGAACAACTTTGTGCGCCTGACCGAACGCATGGCGACCATCAGACGCTTGGACACACTCCGCCAGCTCTCGAGCAGCGTCGTTACCCCGTCGGTGTGCCATGAACACAAGTCCACACATCGATCGACTCATAGAGTACTTCTTAGTCGCCCGAGGCAGCCGCCGGCCCTCGCCCGTCCATGTTGTCGCAGCCAATTTCGACCACGACGACACAGGCACCTGCGGGTACTCCATGCCGATGATGCTATGATACCTAGAACAGAAGCCATGAACGTCATGTAGACGTCCACGCGGGCAACCATGGCAATGCGGTCGCGACTTATATCAAGTCGAGCCGATCGGAGACGCTCTCGGAAATCGGCGACCGCCTCGATATGATCCTCAAGCGCATTGCAGCAGTTGAATCGGCCGTCCTGGGCGACGGCGCTGCCTTGCCATTGCCGCGTCCATTGCCGACGACGTCCGACACCATGTCGATTCGGGGACCACCCGTGCGGGAACACGACCCCAGCCTGTCGTACCGCACGGCAGCCTTCTCGTCGCGGCACCGCGGGTCCTTGGATTTGTCTCTCTTGTGATTTTTCTGTACCTTGAATACCATGACTACAACGGCAAACTGTGCACTCTGACGCGTTCTCTTGCTGCTTTGCAGAAGCCTACGGTCGTCGTCATGCGAAAAAAGCTCATGGCGTACGATTAACGCGCAACTTGACCCGTCTTGTACGTTCAAGGACGTCACCCATCAAAAGACTGATGAGTCGAGTCGTGCAAGTAGAAGTCGAGTCCTGCAATCATTGGAGGCAACCGCCGGAGGTACCAAGTGGATAGCGGTAAAAGCTCTCACTAGATTGATTGACTGATTGATGTAATCAATCGAGTGGGGTTCCACCACGGGATGGATCTCTCCGTGCGCAGCTCACTCCCAACGACCAAGTACTGGTGCCAACTCTTACGCATTCAGGTTCAGACGTAGCACAACGTCTGGCACTACGTATGCAAAGTCTTCGTCTTTTGAGCTCGTTTTTTCTAATTTGACTGCAACGCGAACACGCTTGATTGATTGGCTCAAAGTTGCCAATCAAACGTTGGTGCGGCCATGGATTTGGCCAATCACATTCACTCAACCACGTTTTCCTCGAACGATGGAACGCGACCGGTTCTGGCAACACAAGCAGGACGTGCGCGTGGTCAAAGCCATCGTGAGAACGACGCTCGACCCAGACTTGGGCGCTGGCGTCACCAACGACGCCGACTTTTGGCGTTGTGTGCACAACGATTCCATCTTTTCTGGATGGCTACCCCGCGATGTCCGGCAGATATGGTTGAGCGAGTACCCAGACCGCTGGCGGGCGATCCAACCCGACCTTCGCCGCTTCACCGAGTGCTACACACCGGTGCAGTCCAATGGCGACGCCAGCGAGAAGCAGGACGCGATCAACGCAGCCCTTGCGCGCTTCAAGTCCGATTCGAGCGGCCGCAGGGATTTTGAGTACCTTGAGGTCTGGCGCTGGTTGCAGGAGTCGGCGGAGCGGATCCGTGACGTCGTGCCGCGCATCTGCGCAATTGCACCAGGGGTCCAGGGACTCATGCATTCGCTGCAACAGTGCATGCTACCACTTGTGCCCCAAAAACGCCGGCTCAAGCTCAAGGTTGCAGCCTCCACGCAGCCGATGAAGAAGCCCAAAGTCGCAAGAGCCGACTGTCAAACGTCGAAACTCGACGTTTTGAAGCGCCGAAATGAGCTGCTCAAGGCGCACAACCAACTGCTTCGCCAAGTTGCGGGCGTGCAAAAGACGCTAGCCGACGAAGCCGCGACGGCACTGTTTGCGGACGCGCCATCCGACGAGCGAGACGCATTCTTTGCGTTGCAGCGGCGCGTCATCATGGGGCGTCTACAAAAGCACGGACGGGATTTGGACAGCGTGGCAGTGTAATCGCATCAACATTGTAGTGTACTACGCGCCATTACAATAGACCAGTATGATGATATCCTGCTCGTCCCGCGATGGACAAAGCCGAGGAGCTGTAGCATTATATGCCCTTGTTGTACATAGCATGCGCTGGTTCGTCGTCTTGCTTGCGGCTCTTGGTAGGGCTGAGTGCGAGATCGAGATCCAAAATGTGATGTCATGCTCAGAGTTTCGTCAAGTGACTCGACTGTCCGCGCACCCGTGAGCTCCTTTCCACTATTGCCACACCGTCCAACCACAGCGGGGCTCGTTTGGATGTAGAATGGACTGGCTTGTCATTCTGCGTAGGGGTTCATGGTTGGGTTGAAGACGGGGTTGAAGACTGCAATGTACATTTGCACCATAACCGCCAATCAAAACGGCTGTTTGGTCTGCATATTGGCCAATCACGTCCACGATTGCATGGTGGACTCTGCCGTGGACCAGAATTCGATCGATGGCCCGCGGAACCAAGTACTCAACCGCCGAAGACCTGCGTCTCGCCCGCGCGATCGTGGCCGCCGCCCGCAGTCAGAGTGACGACAATCTCAAGCTCTTCTGGATGGACGTGTACCGCCACTTTGTGGCTCTTGGAAAGCAAACCCGCACCGCCGACATGCGCTCGCCCAGCGGCGTCGAGCAGCACTGGCACAGCGTCGCTGACAACATGCGCCGCTTTGCGAAGATCCACGAGGCCGTGGTGACAACCAGCGTCGACGAAGAAGACGCCATGGCGATGGCCTGCACCAAGTACGTGCAGGACAGCGGCCGCGTGTTCAAGCACCTTGAAGTGTGGCAGTACCTTCGTGACGAAGCACCATTGTCATACAAAGCCTTGCTGACAGGGCACCCCCGGCTTCCTGTCGCGGATGCTTCAACGCCCATTGAGAAGCTCGTGACAGAACGTGCGCCTGAGAACGCGCCGCCGACGTCCGCACCGGTGCAAGAGCCGAGCCGGACCAGTGAAGCGACTCCAACGCCCGTGGAGGAGACGCCCATGGAGGAGACGCCCATGGAAGCCTCTAGCCGTGTCAGCAGCAACACGACGGCCACCAAGAAGCGCAAGGCCATTGACTATCCGGCCGCCATGCTGGCGCAGCGGCAGCGAAAGAATGATCTTTTGGCGCAGCACAACGAGCTCTTGCGCCAGCTTGTGGATGCTCAATCCACGATGGCTCATGTCGCCGCCTTTGCACAAGCACCTATCGACGAGCGCGAGCAAGCAGCAGCACTGCAGCGCCTTGTGATGATTGCACGGCTAGAAAGGAGGCGAAAGCATTGGGACTTGACGTCGCCAGCTCGAATCGGTAGTCCAATCCGTTGCTAATAACGACGTTTTGATGCTTCCACATACCCACGCCTCCCCAAGGCCATCGATCGGACCACACAACTACGGACAAGTACCGTAGCTTCCTACATGGTTAAAGACAGACTGTCGTACCAATCTCAATATAAGCGAATTTGTTTAAATAGGAACCAGGAGCTTAGTGGCAGAGATCCGAGGCGTCGCTGGCGAGCGCGTCGATCGCGAGGTCGACCTTGAGCAATGTGATGAGGTCGTGCGTCGTGAGGTCGGCCTCAAAGTGCCGGAGCGATCTCCAGCGTCTTGCGCTCGCAGTCGAGGCTCGAGGCGACGTTGCTTGGGCCCTCGGCGACGCGGCTCGAGAGCGCCTCGAGACCGTCGAGGAGCTCGACCAGCAAGTCTTTGTCCAAGCCCGCGTCCAGCGTCTTAGTGAGGAGCGCAAAGACGGGTTGCAGGAGCGCGTGCCAGTCGTTGACGATCGCAGCAGCGGCGACGCGAGCTTCCAGCGCCTCCAACTTGAGTTCGAGAAGCTCGATCGCGAGCGTCGAGTGCATTGGCACGACGGCGTCCAGCGCCAAAATGTAGTCGGCGAAGAGGCCGAGGGACGTGGCCGCGAGCTCGAACTGCTCGTCGATCGACGTCTTGAGCGCCTCGAGCTGCAGCGTCGTGTCTTCGAGGTACTCGGCCGTCGCGCTGTCGGCCACAAGATGCGCTTCATATGCCAGATCGACCATGTCCTGGACGAGCGCGATTGCATCGTCCGCGATCTCGTCGATCTCGTGGCCGCAGGCGGCGTCCTCTTCGACGTCCTCTTCCGTGTCGTCGTTGGCGTCCGACTCGTCGTCCGAGTCGTAGTTGCCAGTCATGTCCAGCGTCGATGTGGGCGACGGTATATCCA